TTTCCTTTGGCTTTTCTAAAAGAATCAGTTCTGAATATAGCTAATTTGACTCACAAAGTAAAGTTTTTATCAAATGTATTTCAAAAATAGTTATATTCGACATAATCAAATAATCAATACCTTTGCAATTAGCCAGTGTTATTTTTGGCATGTCATCTGTTTCTGAAATTTGATTAGAATAAGGAATTATTATTATATGTTTGATACACCAAAAATGTATTTAATTAAAGATATTTGCTGTTATTGTATAAATAATTAACATGTTGAGATGGCGTCATTTATATATGAGTATTTATCATGAGCTTCTTGAATTTTATAGTTGATTTTTATATTGCATGATATTGTATGGCATCTTGAAACTACTCGGTGAGTTTCGATCAGTACGGCATAAGCGTCCTCATGTTGCGGATAGAGGAAAGACCGCTGAGGTTGAAAGATGCCTAAGGTTAACAGTAAAATTAATCACAAACAGTCAATAAGAATCATGGGCATATGGTGAGCACATACTGATTAGAACGTTCGCATTGAAAAGCAAGCACGACGAATTTGAAGAACTTTTGTAGGAAATAATTGATCAAGTTTTTGTTAAAATGTCTACCTACGGTACAAACGCAGTACGAACAATTGAAAATCGAGAAATTAAAGAATCTACAGGCTTTTAATATGGGAAAAAAGTTTGCGTTATAATGATGATAGAATCAGAGTAGTTAATTTTGCATAATCGAAAAACCAACTTATAAAAAATCCACATTTAAAGCAGAAGAATATCCACAAGACCATTTAAATATATTCAGATGGTATCCTTTAATTGATAGTTAATTGATTCACTTCATGTACCGCAAATGGTACTAATTTATATTATTACAAACGACTTCAAGTATCTTTATATTTTCATCATGTGAATCAATTAAGTCACAAGACAAATATAGAAAATAGGGATATGATATAAGTTACTGCATAGTGATTTGTGTTATCTCTGCTAGGGATTTTTAAAGGCTTTCAGTTCGTTCTTAAAATATTAATTAGTAATGATTTGAAAAAAAATTGTATCAATAACCATTCAAAATCACGTATATTTGTAATAGACAGTGAAACACGATTTTGAATATTTAATAGATTCAGAAAAATAATTTTAAAAAATCAAATTAATACAGCACACTTATAACTGTGTCAATATCACCAAACGATACGATAACATGGTAATTATCTTGCACTTGCGCAGTGCATATATCAATGAAGCATATAATATTATAGATGAATTTTTTATTCACGTTATAAAATATCGTTATTGAATGATTGAAAATATAAAGATACTTGGAGTCGTTTGTAATAATATAAATTAGTACCATTTGCGGTAAAACGATCGTTAGAAAAATTAAATGAATAACAAATTTGGGATTGATAAATAACAAATGATTAAAAGAGATATTTGATTTATAATTTGTAATTTATAATTTATAATTTATATGTTCTGCAAACTGGACCGAAGGCGATTCGATTCAGTAGTGAATATATCTGTGAAAGAAGTAACATGCTTGTCAGGGTCTGTCTCCACGGGGCCTCTCCGAGCTGTCCGAGTGCCCGTCCGAGCCGTTCTATATTTCTTATACTGACGCCATCTCTATAATTTATAGTTCAATGGCGAATTTCATTGGATGCCGTCACTATGAAACTCGCCATTGAACTCGAAATAATAGAGATGGCGTCAGCATAAGAAATCTAGGATGGCTCGGACGGGCACTCGGACAGCTCGGAGAGGCCCCGTGGAGATAGACCCTTAGGCAGCAAGTCTTACAAATTTCGGAATTGGACGAGCGGAACAAGTGGAATAGGGAGGAGCTCTTTGACGGATCGAACTAAAGTCGGCTGAATTTTGGGAGCTCGGAGCCCCTTTTTCTTTCGATTAAACCATCGAAACTCCACACCTAAGTAGTAAAGAAAATCAACGCAAAATTTTTATCGAAAAGACCCTGGCAGAAAAATATGCGATTAAAAAAAAATAATATACCATTAGTTCATCTTAATTTGTACCACTCAAAAATTCATTTTTTGGAATTTGTACCCCCCCAAAATTTAAAAAAAAAGCGAAAAAAACGATATTGCAGAAAACTCATACTCTTGGCAGCAAAATAATTGATATCATAAAAGAAAAAAATACTACTAGTTTCATTTTAATTTGTACCATCAGAAAAATTCTTTTTTAGAATTTGTACCCTCTCTAAAAATAGAGAAAAAAAAGATTTTCGTAGGGTAGATTAGCAATTCAAATTAACGTATTACTGCGCATGCGCGGCGGAAAATCTATCTTCCAGCAGAAAAATATGTGATTTAAAAAAAATATATATATGAATGCCTTCTTCTTAATTTGTACCATCTAAAAAATACATAAAACTAATTTGTACCTCTGTGGAATTTGAATAATACAGTGTTTTTTGTGTAATTCTAATATTGATAAATTTTACAGGAAAATCTCTCATTCCTTAAGAAAAAAATATATTTCTAGCTCTACCTTAAATTTTACCAACAGAAAATAGTTTTATTGTAACTGTTAAGCTCTAAAATTTGATTAGACATGTTAATATAAAAAATCCTAAGTTAACGTGTGTTCTTAAACTCCTACATCCGCAAAATCAGCTGATTATTCGGATGATAAAGTAGATAACTCTGATAGGAAAAATATTTATTTCCTAAAACAAAATACACCACCAACCTTGCTTTAATCAGTACCAGTCAAAAAGTAGTTATTTTGGAACTTGAACCCCTCGCAAATATTCAGAAAAAAATTAATTCGTAGTCTAGTTCGACGATTCTAATTCCGGGTCATCCGCACTGCAGAAAATCTCTTTTCTCGGCGGAAAAATCGTGAAATTTTAATGTAAAAGATTATGAACGTCTTCTTCTTAATTTGTACCATCTACGAAAACCAAAAATATAATTTGTACCCCTGTAGAATTTGAATTATACAGCGTTTTTCATAGAAACACAGTAAAATGCAAAAAATTAATAAAATTTATGATCCTGACAGAAAAATGGTGAATTTTCTTAAGAAAATTCACCATTAAAGTAAATAGCTTTATGTCTATTTATACTATAAAAATTATCTAAATTTATTTTTTGTACCCCTCCTATTTATCAAGAAAAATAACAAATTCGTACAGCAGTCTTACACGTGTAAGTGCTGTCATCAGCATAGAGTGGTACAAAATTATGATTTTGGAATAAATGTATTTAAAAATTTTTATTACGACGCAATAATACTCGAATTGAACGAAAAGAAAATGTTAATGAACTTGAAACTAATTGTACCTTTGGAAAAAAATATTTTATAATTTGTATTCATCTGAAAAGCGGAGAAAAGATGGACAATCATATCTTTAAAAATCTATTCTCTTGGCGAAAAAATGTTGCAGTTCCGAAGAAAAAACCACTCAAAGGTATACCTGGTAATTTAAATTAAACTTAAAAACAACTATTTTAATTTGTACCCTCCTGTGATGATGAATAAATCCTTTTTTCGTAGTAGAGTATGAAAATTCATATAACAATACGTCTTGCGCATGCGTCGCTATAGTACGATGAGATTTTGGCGCGAAAATATTTATTTAGCAATCTAGAGGAAAAGATTTTTGCAGTGAAAGTTACATTCAGCTTTGAATTTTCCGTTGAGAAAGATTCGGATAACGATCTTTTTGATGCATGGGAGGAAGATGATTATAAAATAATGACCCCATAATAATAAAGTGCTATAGATAGATGGAGAAAGTAGCCGATGGAATAGGAACGGTTTATTAGCAATTTTACGAAATTATAAAATTTCGTACTAATGAACTGTACTGAAGATAAAACTTAAAAGTAAATTTAGATAATTTTTATAGTATAAATAGACATAAAGCTATTTACTTTAATGGTGAATTTTCTTAAGAAAGAATTTTCTTAAGAAAATTCACCATTTTTCTGTCAGGATCATAAATTTTATTAATTTTTTTGCATTTTACTGTGTTTCTATGAAAAACGCTGTATAATTCAAATTCTACAGGGGTACAAATTATATTTTTGGTTTTCGTAGATGGTACAAATTAAGAAGAAGACATTCATAATCTTTTACATTAAAATTTCACGATTTTTCCGCCGAGAAAAGAGATTTTCTGCAGTGCGGATGACCCGGAATTAGAATCGTCGAACTAGACTACGAATTAATTTTTTTCTGAATATTTGCGAGGGGTTCAAATTCCAAAATAACTACTTTTCGACTGGTACTGATTAAAGCAATGTTGATGGTGTATTTTGTTTTAGGAAATAAATATTTTTCCTATCAGAGTTATCTACTTTATCATCCGAATAATCAGCTGATTTTGCGGATGTAGGAGTTTAAGAACACACGTTAACTTAGGATTTTTTATATTAACATGTCTAATCAAATTTTAGAGCTTAACAGTTACAATAAAACTATTTTCTGTTGGTAAAATTTAAGGTAGAGCTAGAAATATATTTTTTTCTTAAGGAATGAGAGATTTTCCTGTAAAATTTATCAATATTATAATTACACAAAAAACACTGTATTATTCAAATTCCACAGAGGTATAAATTAGTTTTATGTATTTTTTAGATGGTACAAATTAAGAAGAAGGCATTCATATATATATATTTTTTTAAATCACATATTTTTCTGCTGGAAGATAGATTTTCCGCCGCGCATGCGCAGTAATACGTTAATTTGAATTGCTAATCTACCCTACGAAAATCTTTTTTTTCTCTATTTTTAGAGAGGGTACAAATTCTAAAAAAGAATTTTTCTGATGGTACAAATTAATACGAAGCTAATGGTATATTATTTTTTTTTAATCGCATATTTTTCTGCCAAGGTCTTTTCGATAAAATTTTTTCACTGCATTGGAATGTAGTTGTGAGCACCCTAAGTAGTATAGAAAATCAACATAAAATTTTTTCACTGCATTGGATTGGAATAAGATCAATATTATTCTCACTGAAATTCCCTGATATAATTTTCATCAAGTTCAATATTTTAAACAGTTTTTATATGTTGGGATTTATTTTATACTGAGAAAAAGAAATCTTAACCTGAAATCAGTTTGTAATTTTATTATAAAAACTTGAACCATTAAAATAATTTTGAGAGCTATTTCATTTTTAAAGTAATGATAGAAATACAGTTAATTAGTGAAAAACAAAAGAAAAGAGGAATAAACAGCTGGGCATTAATGCAAATTGGTGATTTAATGAAGTTTACAATTTTGGATCCACATATAGGATTTTCTACACGAAAAATTCACCCTTACAACAGTTTTGACGATGATAATAAAATAGCTGCTCAGAAAATAATTCCAACTAATATTCTACTAGATACAAAAAAGTTAACGAATATCTATCAAGCTTTAAAATTAATGTTTTCTAAGCAGAATCTGTATTTCAAATTTAATATTCAATATGCAAGTTGGGTTGATGAACCAATAAAGTCATATACGACAACAATATCTACAGAATCTCTTGTCATAATTGAAAAGTGTACAAGATATCAAAATGAAAAACAGGGTTTAAAAATTGTTGCTAAACATGATATTTTAAAAGATACTAAAATTAGATATCTAGCTGGTATTTACAAAAAGATGGATCCCAAATAGAAATGTTATTGCAAGAAAGAAAGTTGAATTTCTCTGTAATCAATTCCACAAGAATATGTCATCCTATCTTGATGTTAGGAATTGCTGCAATTTTGAACCACGACTGCCAGCCAAATTGCATGTATTTGACTGTGACAAAAAGCTTGCTTATAATTGTTACCACAGCCAATATAAAAAAAGGAGAAGAATTATATTGTTATTATGGAAAGAATTATTTTGGACCGAACAATGAATTGTGTGAATGCTACATTTGTGAAAAAAAACAAAATGGATATTTTTCAAAAGGTAATTTTGTTGTTGAATAATAACAACAATTATAAATTGTCATTTTTAATATAACAGAAACACATTATTTTGCAACAATATATACAATATTCTTAATATTTTTTATTGTATTTTTTTATCAGATAAAGTAATAGGCCTCAGTACAGCAAATGATATCAATGACTCAACGTATAATTTGAAAAGTTTTCCTCAAACAATATCAGAATTGAATATTTACAAAGGTACATTTAATCTTTTATTCTTTCTCACATAATAATTAAATTAGTAATAAATATTGTAATATTTTTTTCATTTATTACAGATATTACTCATTTGAAAAATGATTGTGAGGAAGCATATTTAGTTCAAAATTCTAATATTCAAAAAGAGAATTATAAAAAAACTTAATGTATATATAATGATCCTGACAACTACCATTCAGTTAATACTTTTAATATGTGCATCACTGAAACAGAATCTATTTGTAACATTTTGACATATTTAGAAGCTGATTATAAGCTGCGAGATGCAGCATATGTAAAACTAATTAGAATAAGTCAGTTGACAGTTGAGTATTTGAATATAAGACATAATAATGGATATACATTTTGTTTACTCTGTGAAAAATTCAAGACTAAATTTACTAGACATCTAAAATGTGCTCACATGGACAATGATATAGTATCTAAAGATTTGAGTGAAAGGGACAGCGCTGTAAAATTATCTATTTTTAATTTTCTTCGTAATCAAGGACTGTATCATTTTCAAATACTAACTGGATTAATAATTCCAGTGAGAAAATCCAGAAATGATTCTGTAGCAATAGTTGAAAAAGTGCAGTGTACAAATTGTTACGCTTATTTTTCAAGAAAAACATTGTGGAGCCATAGAAAATATTGTAAAAATTTTATTGTCCCTGTAATTCGTAATCTGAATGTACAATCAAAATAAAATAAATAGTACAATTCGATAGATGATACTAATTAATCAATTAATCCAATTACAATTGCCCAATTAAATAAATAAAAAACAATAATCAATTAATATAAAAAAATTTATCAATCCATTTGTATTGCAATGAATTGTGTGATATTATACTTTTGTGAAAAAAAGTAAAATGGATATTTTTTAAAAGGTAATTTTGGTGTTGAATAATGAAAACAATCTCTCGTTCTCGAATTCATCGCCGGCAACAAGTGGCAGGAGACGCCGACTGACTTCCAGGATTACCAACAATTTAATATCACAATTTGTATTATTTAGAGTAGATATGTGAACCTGCCCATATATATTTACTTTAATATTCATTATTTCATTCATAAATTATTCATTAATAAATGTTTAATAATTTAAAAATTATTTAAAATTTTAAATTTCCCCAATTCAATAATAAAATATTAATTTAAATTTATATAGCTTAATTGTTACACAAAATTGAAATATTTCTATATTATTATTCTTAATTATTATATTCTTTTCTTTACCTAAAGGATTGTAGTCCTCGTCAGAATTAACATGGAATGATGCATCACTGTCCAATGAAGCATTGCTAATATTAATATTTAAATTATTATGTGCGCATTCAATAAAATCAATTTTACTGCAATCTGAATTCTTATTTGACAAGCTGTTATAGGAGTCATTTGAATTAAATTGGAATGTGGTATAGCTGTTAGACTTATCTATCATTCTTGAATTATCTAGAAAATATTTAGTAACATTTAGATCAACAAAAAAAAAAACAAAAAAATTCTTACAATTTCCCACAGCTTACCATTAAGAAATGGAGATGACATTTTTACTCCTTTCATCTCTTCATTATTACTATTCAAGGATATATTAAAACCTATAATTCATAAATAATAAATATATAACATATTTTTTAATTTTTTATTGCTTCTCAAGTAACCCTTTTCAAAAGTCTATTAATCTTTGGGAAGGCATTCATATAAGATACAAGACCTCTATGTAATACATAAATTTTCATTATAATCACCATTATTTAAGCTATCATCTAAACTGACAGACAAATCTTTTAATGTAAAAGAATTTTCGCCATCAAGCACTTTGTTGAGAAATGATAAACTTTCTGAAACATAAACAGTTATATTTTATCATACTGAAGTTAAGTGAAACATGTGGGATTATAATCAATAAGTTTTGACAAATAATACCTACCATTTGAATTAATAATATATCCTTTCATTTTTGTACCACCGATATTTAATAAGCCGGCCACTTTAGCATTTTTGCTAACGGACTTGGTAGGCACGATGATTTTTGAATAATCTTTCACTCTTATTAAAGACCACATTTTGTAATGTTTTGCGTACAATCACTTAGTTAATGTTTACTTGTTAATGTTAATCAAATAAATTGTTGTTTTAACTTAAAATTGAAAAATTTTGATTTCAATGATAATTTAACCTTTATTTTTCAACACAATATAATGACTGATTTATTTGGTTTATTAAATATAATAACTGATACAATGCTATAATGCTGTATGATCATTAAATCAAATAAATTATTGTTGTTTAACTTAAAATTGAGAAATTTTGATTTCACTGATAACCTTTACTAACACGTGTACCTAAAACTACAACATTTTTTTTTATAGAATATTATAATAACTGAAACAGTGCTACCATGTTATATGATCATTAAATTAAATATTAGGGACACTAGGGTGTCGAAGGTCTACTAGACCGTAAGGGAGTGTCTCCACGGGGCCGTCCCGCAGGCTGTGCCGCTGGGCCGTGCCGTCCTAGAATTTTTATGCGTACACCATCTTTACATTTTCGTGTTCAGTGGCGAGTTTCATAGTGACTGCAAGAAACGCATCTATGAAGTGGCTGTATCCGTGGTTTGAAGTTTTCTGTCCATCGGCTCCAATTTGCTCCAATTTTATTCACGGCATGATTATTAATTACGAACTCACCAAATTGCACGTATTCCTAATAATCAAAAATATTAATCACAAGTATCACAACTTTTTTTCGTCGATGGACAGAAAACTTCAAACCACGGATACGGCAAGGTGGGTTCACTATGCTAGGAGCTAGGGCCACTAGGGGCTTCGGGACGAACGGAGCTCCGTCCTAGGATGGCATAGGATGACAGCGCCAATGTCAGAGGTATCATAACCGTTCTGTAAAGGCTCATAAAATAGCATAGGATGACTGTCAGCCGCGGTCTGGATTCATAACTATGTTATCGCCTATGGATAAAAATAAATATTTAGAGTAAACAATATAAATCTACGCAAAACTTAAAAAAAGTGAGAACTTTGATACGATTAAAAGTTTGTGCGATAATAATTGTGGTCACCATTGTTTTCGTGTTTTTAAATTGTTTTCGCGCCAGGGTCGTCTCGATCCGTAATTAATGTGAAAGGAAGCCCCTCGTTCCGGCCTCCGTAATTAATTAAACATTAAAAAAAACTCAAATCGATGGCTTTTCATTAAAGTTTTGTGATAGACAACAAAAATGGGAGGCCTTATACAAATATAAACTTTTATAATGTTGAAAAAAGTGTGAGTACTGGAAAAGCATACGTCTGGAAAAAGCTATTACGGGCTTGGAAATCATATGTAATAAATAATCATGTATGAAGTTTCCAGGACAGAATATTTACGTGCTGGAAAATTGTATACCATATACATACTCATCAAAATGAAATTGATTATGATATATGGTATATACAAATGTTATTTCAAACATAAAAAAGCTTATCAGACAGTTTCAAAGAAATGTCCCGGAACTATGCGTTAAACATATATATATACGTACATACATATATATACAGGGTATCCCATTTTAACTTGGACTGTAGAATAACTAACAACATTGCCAAGTATACGAAAAATTTTTCAGGTAAAAGTTGTATGGTTCAGAGGGGTTCAAGTGATGAGGTCATCAAACTTCCCTATAATATGATTTTTAAGGTTATTTGAAGATCAACTTTATTTTCTCAAATATCGTCAAAATACAAAATTTTAAACATCGATATCTCAACGAAAAAAATTAATTTTTTTAATTTGAAGGAAGAGTTTTGAAGGGTTAGAGTTCTTCTTCGAGATGCCGTCGGCTGTTTAAAAAAAACTTTTAGTAGAGATCTGACATAACCTCAAATTTAGCCATAAACAGTGTTTTTTTGCACTTTTAGGTTAGGATATCTCGGGAACCTGACGTGATGGACAAAATCTGCCTCCGGATTTAGATTCAGCAACTCAAAAACTTTCGGAAGTACCTGGTCACGGTTCTAGGTCTTTTTGGCTGTTGCCCTGTGTTATCACGATGGTATCCTTTATTAAACAATGGTTCGGTTACAAATTGAGGCATGTGCAACGATAAAAATTTCTAGTATGTGGCAGATCCGGGTGCCACCATTTGGTCCACTGCCACATGCACGCAGTGATCGTTTGCCTACGGATAAGCTATAATCCGCACAATTATGTCGTCGCGGTTTCCGAGCTCGCATGAGATCGGCCGGCGATCCATCTCGTATTATACTTTATATTAGATGCGTAAGACAACGATGGATCGCGCAGGTGTTTTGCGCGGAGCTGACCAGCTTACCTCGCGATATCTGCGATTTCATGCCGTTCAGGTCTCCTCAATCAGGGAAGAAGGCTTCTTCTGTCCTTCCTGTGGTAACCGGTATGCTTATAGGAGGTTATGTTCAACGTCTCGTATCCTCTGATGCTTGCTCAGGATATCTTTCTTTTTTTCAGGGAAGGAACGCACACAGTAGCTTCCGCATTCGTCTGACATCAAATTTCGAGAGCTCAGAACTCGACGAGGAGAGCGTGTGTCTAAGAATAGTCTCTATACGACTCTCTATCTGCGTATTCTCTCTCTGTATCAACGCATGGGCAACGCGTACCCTCACTTCCTAGCCGGCAGAAGCCCTCAAGGTCTATAATCGGCATGAAAATCTGCTGCTTCCTTCTTCTCTTCTTCGTCGAGGCTATGGTGGCCTCTGGCCTGTCATCTCAGTCTCTCAGCAATTATTTGCGAATGCTGTTGGACGCAAGGGTATCTTGATGCATGAGTCACACCGGGGTAGCGATATATATTGCACCTTTTTCATTGTGTCCGCAACGAGGTTCTTCTGGGTAATCCCCTCTCTCGGGGCGTCAGTGGCAACCCGTCCCTGCGGTTCGGGGCTATCCATATCGAGAGCTAAGGCTATTCTTCGGCCAACGAGCCCATCCATTAATGTGGATGAGGTTCGTGTGTTTTTTCTTGTGAGAACTACTGAGGTTCACCACGAGGTTGACTGCACCACGGCTGTGATTTTGCAAAAGCGACACCGCAGGCACTGGCTCACGCATTGTTGCCGTCCCGGACTTCTTCAATGATGGGCCCTCGAGGGCCTGGTGCTGTTACCGTTGTACGCCCTTCAGCACCGCAGACTATTATCGTCGGCACGCGAATAGCTTGTCCCATTCGTCGAAGTCGTTCGGGCGATATCCTTCGGCTACAAATGTGTCAAATGCATGGTACATGGCACGTTGTAGTTGGCTGAGAGTTGTCCAGCCTTTCTCAATTTCTTGTAGGCCCAGCATAATCTTTGACCATGGTTGGTGTACGTTCTGAATATCATAGTCACGGAGAAACTCTGGATGCCATGTCAAGTCGATAGCCCTGTCGTCCGTTTGCGTGGACATTGATCTAGTTGGGGCGCGGGTCAGGATCGCCCCCGCGAACGGTCCCGGTAGCGCCGTGATATCTTCACGGGGTATTCCTGAAGACGTAAGTGGGGCCTGCATCTCGTTATCCCCGACTTAGACGATCTGCATGGATAACGAGTCTTTATGGGCTTGTACCCGTGCCTGCTCCTCCTTTTTACGGGCTTCGCTCACTAGGTGCAGGGCTACTCCGTCAACGGATAAGTCCAGATCTA